CCGCGTATGTTTTGGAACTATTGGGGCTTACATGAACCACGTGACAGCCGTCGCGGCGACATCAGAGCGTGTCGCAACTCTTTCTCTCTATGGCTCTGGCATGGCAGTTTACTTCCTCTAAAAGTGTTCTGAATTGCCTGTGATTTAATCCCCGTGAACGAATAAAGTTAACAACTGTCCCCTGCCCAACACCTTTCACAGACGGATGGAGTGGTAGGCTGTGAGGATTTCTCCTGTGTGCAGGCCCGGCTGCAGGATGAAATAACTGAGGGGGCTTGTGAAATTGTTAAGGGGGCTTAACTTTATACCATCAATGAACAATCAATACACAACTCGCAGCGCTCCATAAAACACTCCATATGCAACTGCACAGGTAAACGCGTAATAAAAAGATAAGCCAGCATAATTTATTATTCATATATGAACTCCTTCACGCTTAAAAATACGTTTAAAATATTCTAACTGACTCCCCAGAGTGAGTTTTTATTTTAGTATGTCCCCCCTTAATGTTCCCATGGCAACTCGTCATATTTGTCACGTGACACACCGCAGCCACAATAAAGGATGACAGATGTGTATCGCTTTTATTTCGTTTTTCCTTTTTTATTCAAAATATTCACAAACTTGCTTACCATGTCATCAACTATCTGATATTCCGATTGTCAAAAATGTGTAAGTGAGTGTGTTTGGTCGTTTAAAACCTTTATAAATAATCTTGATCTTGAACTAACGTGAGATGGGCGCCAGCCCGCCACCATGTTTATTTGCGCCGCAGTTCAGACAAAGAGTATAGAAGAACAAGAGGCGAAACTCTGATGCTTTTTTGGTAACAGCCACTAGGTGGCGCTTCGGTAGCGCGGCCGCCATTTTGGGGTGAAAATTCCAACTGGAGTTACTGGACAACAGCACAGATAATGTACTCGGTTACTAACGTAACCTCGGTTCTCTCTAGAGAGGGAACGAGTACTGCGTAATAGCTTTACGCTAGGGGAAAAACTCTTTTCCACGAGATATTGAAGCCAAAAATGATCCTTAATTTTTTATTAATGTAAAACGCTTTGCAGCAGCAAGCAGACATAGGCGAAACAGCTCGCGCGCCTATTGGTTGCTCTTGCGGCAAATGCAGCAGCCTATCGAGAGAGACTATCGTAATGACCAATGGGGGCAATTCGCGCCCATATCGTCACGTCCCGCCAGAAAGGGCGTGGTCTCACCCTATAAATATGCTCGTTAGGCTGGTACAAGCTGGTTTTTATCGCGGAAGCGAACCAGAGCGTATTCCAAGCACGGCAAGATACGCAGTACTCGTTCCCTCTCTAGAGAGAACCGAGGTTACGTTAGTAACCGAGTACGTTCTCTTACGAGAGTATCTCTTGTACTGCGTAATAGCTTTACGCTAGGGGAACACAATGCAACACGCCGTGCGTACAGGGATCCAACACCAAAGTCCCAAGGGCCGAAGCCCAGGGCTCATGTAGTGCATAATCACCATAAACTCACATAGAGTGGAGGAAGAGAGGCTGGAAGCGTCATTCCCTATAAAAAAGCACCCAGCGGGGCTATCATATGACAATAAAACGCGCAGCCAGGGTGAAAGCTTTCAGCCTGATCTGGGTGGCCATACGTGTGTCAACACTCATGGGGCTGCAGTAAACTCAACATCTGGGCCGCACAGCGGGGCAGATAGCACTGAATTTTAGACCGCCAAAAGCTTAGCTTGTAAGGCGGGTACCTCCAGGTTATAGTATTTTATAAATGTAGACGGCGAGGCCCAGCCCGCGGCCGTACAGATATCTTGCAGGGAAACCCCGCTCGACCAAGCCCACGAAGAGGCCACGCCTCTCGTGGAGTGCGCTCTGACACCCAAGGGGCACTGTAGGCCCTTTGCAGAGTAAGCGAGCGCAATGGCATCCACTATCCATCTGGATAGGCTCTGTTTTGAGGCGGCGAGTCCCTTGGAACGCCCGCCAAACAAAACGAAAAGCTGCTCCGTCTGTCTGAAAACAGACGAGCGTGACACATAAGCTCTCAATGCCCTGACGGGGCAAAGGAGACTCGCGTCCTCCTCCTCACTGAGAACCGGAAGGGCGGACAGGGAAATTACCTGGGCCCTAAACGGTGTATTGAGGGATTTCGGGACATACCCGTGCTTAGGCCGGTCTGATAAAATGTATTCATTGCAAGTTCGCCATGTGCACTTGGGGCCCAAGCGAGGGGAAGAAAATATTTTTTTTAAACATTTTCTATAACGGAGCGTATATTTGCACTAAGTGCCTGTCTTTATAGCAAAAAGACGCCCATTACTAAATAGCTACAGTGTCGTAGGGCGTGAAGTGCTTGAAAGCAGCTTTTGATGCGTTCGACCCGAGTTCGAATCCGCCTTTTGCCGAACTCTCTCTTCTCCCTTTTCCCAACACATATGTAAAGATGTAAAATGTATAACCTAACATTAAGGTCTCTAGCGTTATATTTTGCCAACGAACTAAAATTGAAACCATGATATGGCTTTGTGTCTTTATAAAACAGCACAAGACTTTAAGAATAGGCATCCTGTCTGTGCTGCGTGATTACTTTGCTCACGCGATCAGCATGGTTATCTGGTGTTTTCTCCTAAATAAAAGCTCAAGGGTTTATTTCTTGCAAGTGAAGAAATTAGGACAAAAATATTTTAATTGTCCTATATTATAGTGTAATGTAGGCTAAAATATACTTTTGAAATATTCATTTTCATTTATATAGTACATTTATAGGCTAAATGGATTTTACCCGGTGGTCTACGAAATTTCCCGGTAGATTTTTTGGTCCCACTCCGCCCCTGGTTTCATGTAACTCAGTTCTTCTCCCTCGCTGTGTTATGGCTTTGCTATGTAGGGATAAATGTGCTGGTTACGTTCGTGAGACAGCTGATTAGTACTCTTGTCATTGACCGTAAAACAGTATGTTACAGGAATCACCAACCCGTCGATCGCGGTCGACAAGTCGATCTTGGAAGCATTTTAAGTCGATCGAGTTTCCAAAATCAGAGAAAAAAAGCCTATTGTGTGTAGTAAATGGTGTCTAGGGGATGCGGAGGCGCGCGCGCTGTTACAATCACGTCATTTTTGCCACGCGCACCTTTGCACTCATGCGGACGCGTCCAGTATAAACAAGGCTTTACGCTTTAACCAGCTCAGCCACAGTAACAGCTCATATTAGCCAGCTAAACTTTTACTACCCTGTTAGAAAAAAATATGTAGTTGGATATAGTTTCATGTGGTTCTTAACCCCTCGCTGTATTATGGGTTTGCTATGTGGGGAGAAATGTGCTGGTTACGTTCATGAGACAATCAGCTGATTACTATTATTATATTATATATTAAGACCCTTCATCCTCACCTGACTATGGCTTTGTAAACTTTATCTATGATGTGGTTTATAATGGACTGTGGTACAGAAACAGTGACAATGTTACACACTCTTGGTTTACTCTGGCTATTCTCTGCTGTCTCAGACGACGATGTTTGTCCCGTTTTAGCCACCGTAGCTTCTTCGAAAGGGAGGGGTGAGCAGTGGACTGAGTCCTTAGTGCAACTCGCAACCGAACCGCTAGATGCCACTAAAAATCACACACTGCACCTTTAACAAAATGCAATAACAGCTTAAAAAGTACTTGGGTGTGTGTTTTTATTTTATATCTACCGTTTAATAATGCAATCGCTGCTGTCTGTCCATAGAAGAACATGACAGCCCGCGTATCTTTTGGAACTATTGGGGCTTACATGAACCACGTGAAATCCGTCGTGGCGACATAAAAAAGCGTGTCGCAACTCGTTCTCTCTATGGCTCTTGTATGGCAGTTTTCTTCCTCTAAAAGTGTTCTGAATTGCCTGTGATTTAATACCCGTGAACGAATAAAGTTAATAACTGTCATTACATGTCCCCTGCCCAACACCTTTCACAGACGGCCTCCTGGTGAATGATGGAGTGGTAGGCTGTGAGGATTTCTCCTGTGCGCAGGCCCGGCTGCAGGGTGAAATGACTGAGGGGGCTTGTGAAATTGTTAAAGGGGTCATATAATGATACATGCACTTTTTCAAGTTGATTGTACTGCAATGTGTGTTGGCAGTGCCTGTACACAACCATCATAAAATGATAAAAATCTATCCAGTGTTTTTTTTTTTAAATCCCCTTATACAGGTCCTTCTAAAAAAATGTGCATATTGTGATTGTAAAGGACTCTATTTTGTTAAGTTAGGTGGAAGGCTAGTCCACTACGGAACTCCCGCAAGAAGTGTGACAGGAGACAGAAGATAATTTAACTGTTTATCTCTTCAGATGTGTCGATATACATATCCAGCATTAGGCTATACAGCATTAGAATTGTGGTGGTAAAATGTGGTTTAGTCTGAAATAAACAAATAAATATATCAGAATATGTCTGAATACAGTAAACATAAAGATTCACCTCAGTGTCACGGTTCATGAATTCGCTGTCTCCTTCTCGTCTCATGTTGTGCGTGGGCGAGGTCGCTGATCACCGCGGTTGATTGTTCCAGCTGCGCTCTATCTGCGCGTCAGCTGTGGCTGATCAGTGAGCCCTATTTAGTCCCTTTGTTTTCTCCCTGTCTTTGTCAGATCGTTGTTGGATGTTCCAGTGTTACCCACCTGTCTCTTGTTCGCCGTGTTCCTGCCTGTTCCAGTCCTGTTCGGTTCGTCTGTGTTTTGGCACTTCTGTTTGGTCACCTCGGATTACTTTCACCTGCACGTCTGGATTGTTCCTCCTCCTGCACTCTCGGACTGTTCATCGCTGCTCATCCTGCGAGACCCCACAGCGTCCCTGTGCTGCCATACGGCCGTCCCACGGACTTTTGTGCATCCACTAGTGTACTACAATAAACATCCAGCTTTTACTTGCAATTGAATCTTCTGTCTATTATTCCTAACAAAACGATCTGACCAAGATGGATTCAGCAAGCGGCACATCAGACTTAAGTGAGTTTCTGTCTATTAGCGGTGCCAGAATGGATCAACAAGAGGAGAACCTGGCCGTCACGGGACGTGCCGTTCAAGCCTTGGTAGCACAGGTGTCCGAGCTCACCCAGCAGCTCCAACATCTGGCTGTTCCCACTGCGCCCAGCCCACCGCCGATTCCCCAACTGCCGCCAGCACCCGACCATCAACCTGAGCCTCGACTACCCGCGCCTGAGATGTATGCTGGTGAGCCGAATTTCTGTAGAGCATTTTTAACAAAATGCTCTATGTACTTTTCCTTGCAGCCCCAAACCTTTTGTACTGAGACGGCAAGGGTGGCGTTTGTCCTAACACTGCTCACAGGACGTGCAGCATTATGGGGAACGGCGGTGTGGGAAAATCAACATCAATGCTGTTCCTCGTTCCAGACACTGTCGGAGGAGATGAAGCGAGTGTTTGATCGGGCGACCACTGGACGGGAGGCCGCTCGTCAGCTCGCAGACCTGCGCCAGGGTAACCGTTCAGTGTCGGACTACGCCATCGACTTCCGCACCCTGGCTGCCGAGTGTTACTGGAACGAGGAGGCGCAGTGGGATATGTTCCTGCATGGGCTGGCTGACCGCATCCAGCAGCAAATCTTCACGCTGGATCTACCCAAGAGGTTCGACGAACTCGTAGAGTTGGCTCTGAGGGTGGACGCTCGCTTACACCAACTGGAGCAGCGGACCAGAGCAGCCCAGGGGCCCGTGAGTGTCAGAGACCTGCAGTCCAGCGGCAGTGATGCGGTCAGCCCCGCCTACAATCCCGAGCCCATGCAGGTGGGTAGAGCTCGGCTTTCCCGGGAGGAGAGAGAGCTCCGGAGATCCAGGGGCCTTTGCCTCTATTGTGGCGGGGCTGGTCATTACTTGAACACCTGCCCGGTAAAAGATCGAGCCCGGCCGTGAACGAGAGGCTACTGTCGGGCGGGATCTCCGTGAACAAGGCCTCTTCCTCTACTCTCCTCCCGGTTAGACTGCTGTGGGGAACCCAGTCCCATCCCACGCAAGCCCTTCTTGACTCAGGAGCTGAGGGTAATTTTCTGGACATAACTGTTGCTCGGACACTTGGATTACCCATCACTACTCTCAAAGACACCATTTCTGTCAGCGCACTTAACGGTCAAGAACTTCCATCCATAACCTATCGCACACACCCCTTGACACTGGTCACGTCTGGCAATCACACTGAACAGATTTCATTTTTGCTTCTGGACTCACCCATGGCACCCGTTGTCCTCGGTCACCCCTAACTGATACAGCATAGTCCCAGAGTTGATTGGGGACACAATTCTGTGTCAGCCTGGAGCACTCAATGTCATAAGTCTTGTCTTGTGTCTGCTTGTTCGTCTGTGTCCAGTGTTGTCTTTCAGACGGAGGTGGCAAATTTATCTAACGTGCCCGCGGAGTATCGCGACCTGCAGGAGGTGTTTAGTAAGTCCCGCGCTGCTTCTCTTCCTCCGCATCGTCCTTATGACTGTGCCATAGATTTACTTCCAGGTAAGTCTCCGCCTAAGGGCAAGTTATACTCACTTTCTGTTCCTGAAAGGGAGGCCATGGAGAAATATATTTCTGATTCTCTAGCTTCCAAATTCATCCGTCCTTCCTCTTCTCCAGCGGGGGCGGGATTCTTTTTTGTGGGTAAGAAGTATGGATCTCTGCGACCGTGCATTGATTATCGGGGGTTGAACAACATCACGGTAAAGAATACTTATCCTTTGCCGTTGATGTCTTCAGCCTTCGAGCGGTTGCAGGGAGCATCTATATTCACAAAATTGGATTTACGTAATGCATATCATTTGGTTCGCATCAGGGAGGGGGATGAATGGAAAACCGCTTTTAATACTCCCAGGGGGCACTTTGAATATTTGGTTATGCCGTTCGGGCTGTCCAACTCCCCAGCGGTTTTCCAAGCACTCGTCAATGACGTGTTGAGAGACATGGTAGATCAATTCATATATGTTTACCTGGATGACATATTGATTTTTTCGTCGTCTCTCCAGGAACACGTTCAACACGTCAGACGAGTGCTTCAGAGGTTGCTAGAGAATGGGCTTTTTGTCAAGGCGGAGAAATGCGCGTTTCATGCACAGTCTGTCCCTTTTCTAGGTTACATCGTCTCGTCTGGGGAAGTGCGCATGGATCCTGACAGGGTTAAGGCTGTGATGGATTGGCCAAGTCCAGATTCCCGTAAGGCCCTACAGAGGTTTCTGGGGTTTGCCAACTTCTATCGGCGTTTCATTCGCAATTTCAGCCAACTAGCCGCGCCTCTGACTGCCTTGACCTCTCCCAGAGTGACGTTCAGGTGGTCGAACACAGCCGAGGCTGTGTTCGCCAAACTCAAAAGCTGCTTTGTTTCAGCTCCCATCTTAGTCGCCCCTGATTCATCACGTCAGTTCGTGGTAGAGGTCGACGCGTCAGAGGTGGGGGTAGGTGCAGTACTTTCTCAGCGCTCTTCTGCAGATGACAAGATGCATCGTTGTGCGTTTTTGTCACATCCTCTATCGCCTGCCGAACGTAACTATGAATCAGAATCAGAATCAGAAAGAGCTTTATTGCCAAGTGTGCTTGCACACACAAGGAATTTGTTTTGGTACTGAGGCTTCCAGTGGACATATACAAATACAAATACAACAAGAAACATTAAAGCTGCAAGCAGCCTTACGGGGCCAAGCCTTCAATGGTTCCATGGGTTCAAAAAGTACTTAAAAATACTTTGCTTTCCAAACTTTAAAAGAAACTTTAATAACCAAAGTATTCTTACTTATTAACTTCTTACCTCACAAAAGAAATGAGATCATCCAGCTGCCGAGGTTCAGTAGTAAAAAAGAGAATGGACTCAAAATAAAGACTTTGCATATAAATGAAACACACGTTGTATTTAATAGGAAGAAAGAATAGTACAATGCTTTTCAGTATGATAAAGAAATTGAAATGACACAACTTTATAAAGTTGTAAGACAAAGGACTTGAACCCACAATCTCTGGGTCATATGCCTGTCACTCATTGAGCCCCTGGGAAGTCATGTGTTTCCATAGATGTAGAAGTTCCATAGTTCAAATGAGAAATAACTCAAAATGAAGATTTAGTATTTAAATGGACAGCATGTTACGTTTAATGAGTTTAGTTGATATTATTGTGATTCACTGTTAGGTGGTTGTCCTGCACCTTTAACAAATAAAGTTAGTCCAAGATGCAGTATATAGATCAATAAAATATTATTTTACAACATTAAGATTAACAGGTTCTTGTAAGAATCTTACAATTCTGGACTTTTGGTACTACTTAGGATATTGAACTGCACTAAAGGAGAGAATGTTTTGTTTTTGCATGTGGGTCCTAAAGTCTGGAGCAGGTTTCCTGATAATATTCACTATTCCGTCAAACATTCCTAGTTTAATTGTAGATTAAACACTTCTCTTTAAACAAGAATTCACGCAATGCATTTTATAATCTTGTAATTTTGTTATATTAGATCTAATACATATATTTTTATGTTCTATTTTCAGTTTCTAAATTGTCATGGGCATATTAGATATTAGGTCATTAAGTTAATATTCAGAAAAAATACAAGTACTCCACAGCGACTCTAGGGGTCACTGTTTGACAAATGGAAATTTTGCATGGTGTGTCTTGATGTAATACAACACTATTAACTAAAGCTTAAAACAATTATTGAACCTGGTCTTTAAACTGTAGAAGTTTGTCAGTTTATAAATCCATTAACACCATATACCTAGCCTCCCTTTGTTCTACTAATGGTCACAATTGTGACCTGACGAATAATCAAGTTTTTTGTATGGATTTTGATATATATTTTTGACGTAATTGTTAAAGATTGTTTAATATCCTTATGTATTCATACATGTTATCTCAGGGAAAAGAAATTGGAATTACATGGGTTAACTGCCATATGCAACTGTAACCTATATTTTTGCTACAAGTACATTACTTTGACAGTCATCTTTGATAATGTCTTGTACAATTAAGTTTTTTTTTTTTATGCTGCCTAGAAACAATATTGTGAGAGGTGATAAAAATGTGAATTAAAAATAACGATTATTTTTAGTTTAAATACCATTTAGCACATTGGATAAAGTAAGCAAATTAGAGGGGGCCTTTGAAGTGATTTTAAAGCACCATTGTTGCATATTTAAATCTTTACAGAACAGAATACCAACCGTTTCTTTAGTTATTCACAATGACACTTATGGTTACACTACTTGCTTTTCCCAGTATGGTTTGTGAAACTAAACTTAGTGCCTAGTTAAGAATGGCTAGAAGAATGCACGCAACTTTCCAAATGTAAGATAAGCCCATGCAATAAAGGTCACATATTCCAAGAATTGACACACATTTGTTTTAATAAAAAAAAAAAATACATTAAACAACATTTAACAAAGCTTTGCCATAAAAATGAAATAAAAATCAATCAGTAGCATTTCAGAACATAATGGACAAAATTAACCTAATTTCAATAGAAAACATGACTTAAATCAATATTTGCCATTCATTAAAAAAAAAAAAAAAAAAAAAACACCAATACCATCATTTCAATATATATACACACACACACAACCATCTTAGTTGTGCATTTCAATACAAAGTCATTTTTGTATTATTTTTACAGCACTCTTCTTAGTCAAAGGTTTTTTAGCTGGTGTAATAGGAGGCGTTGTTGGCTCAGATGGTCTTTTAACTGGAGACTTGGGTTCTGGAGTGCTTTGTGTCTCTGTGACACAGAGGACAGGGTTGATTTCATCGATATTAACTTCAAATAAATCCTCATCACTGGGATGAGCGGATGAAGCGTTTTCAATATTGGTGACTTCCAAACAGTTATTATATGTTAAAGTCAGTTCATCGGAGGATAGAAAGAGTTCTTCTATATCTTGTGAATCACAAGTTGACAGTTCAAGTTCTGGTGCTATGAATTTTGACAAAGTTGAGTTCGAAACCGTAAGAGAAGTTATTTGACTGTCTTGATTTATCTCAATTATTCCATTGCATTTTGTTATATAGCTTTTTGTGTTCCGTAGAATTTTGCAAGTCGGGCAACGGTGAAATTGCTGTTTGATGTTGAATTGTTCTTGTGATTTGTGGCATTTTGGACATTGTTTTTTAATGTTTATTTGCACCCCTATTGGCTTTTGTTTCACCACTGTATTAGGTAGAGAGGGTTCTTTACTGATTTTAGGGCCTTGACCAGGTGGGAAAACTTGGTCCTGTGCAATAGGTTCCATGGTTGTTTTCAGGGTTGTTGTGAGGCTCTTAAGGCTGTTGTACAGTCTAGTTTTAAGATTGGTAAAGGTGTAGGAGTTACCTAGTTGCAGTTTTGAAACTTGGTTTTCCCAAAGAGTAAGTTGAATTTCTCCAGATGGATCTTGCAAGGAACATTCTTGGATCTCACAGTCTGTACCCCAGGCCTTTACAGTAGTTGCGTTGTTTAGCTTGCATACTGTTGCAGATATTTTAGTGATCTGAAAATTTAAAGAAAATCGTACATGTACAATCAAAAATATACATCAATAAACATGATTACAAGGGAAATGTATACAACTGCTGTTGTGGTCATAAGAAGAGGAAATAGCCAAACTTTTCCACACATTAACCAATTTGAAACGCATTAATCATGTTTGTAAAGCATCTAGCAAAGATAACTGAGAAGCAGAGTAATCTTTGCCTGTGCATCTGAAAAATCTTTCACATTTTAGCATTTTTTTGAACGTCAGGCTACTTTAAAATGTTTTTCTCCCCATAAAAACGATTTTGCACAATCTACAGAGGGCTAATATATGTGATTGTACTACTCTCCAGAGCATTACTACAACAAGTAAACAACCCTGTAGGCTATTTACACAGTGAGAAGGTTGAAAAAAAAACAGCTTACCAATTGTCGTGATCCCAGAGTTTTTGCTTCTTCTACAGTGAGTTTTTCTATCTCTTTTGGTGGTTTGTGGGGAAATGTAGATGTTGCGACTTCCACAGCAGTACTCCGATCACACTGAATGAAATATTCAGAATTATTGAGGCCTAAAGAATGAAAAAAGTGAGAATTGATATGGGCTTGTTTGTACAATGAATTTGAAAGGAATACGATTACTGAAAGTTTATCAGATAGAAAACAGGATTAAATAGCTAGACTACCACTTACTTGGCTTTTTTGTTATGTTTGACAGTTTAACCGCTGTCCGATTTAATGCTAATGTTGTCCAAGTTTGATGTTTTTCGTGCGCAAAGATGACAGCTTGGTGATATTCACTGCGACCTGTTTGCAAAGTTGCATTAAAAAACTTTGAGTTTGTTCTAGACAGTTGCACTCTGGAAACTGCATGAATGTAAACATAAATGCAGTTGTCAGATTCACTGGTCTCTGGTCTATTTAAATATTTGTTCATTTTTGCTGTTGCATGAAAAAAGAGGTTTGCAAGTGGTGTGATTTATAGTAGATTAGGCCTACTAGAACAGAAATTGACAATGCTTGGTATGCAATTAACAAACGATTCAATTAGGGTGATTGCAGGAATTAGTAATACATTCATCAAATTGCTGAGTTAATCATTTTAGAATTGGGAAGCTTGGTTTAGTGGAGGCAAGAAATGGATCTGAAAGTCTGCTGGAAATAATTGAAAGGTAAATTTACTTGTATAATGCCTTTTAGGGATGGAGAAATGAAGCCTCTTGAACTTAATTAAGCTT